AGACCTGGCTCCTGGCTCTGGCCTGACCCAACAAACCCCTACCACCGTGGCCATTTGGGGAGTGAACTAGTGGACAAAAGATCTCCTTCTGTCTCTCCCTCTAATTCTGCTTCTCAAATCAGTAAATCTTTTTTTTTAAACAAACCAAACCCACTAGTAAACATAAATGATTATATACTATGATTAACATGTGCAAATTAATAAACCTAGTAGCAACAGAATGAAGGATAACATCCATATGATCATCTCAATAGATGCAGAAAAATAATCTGATAAAATGATAAAATTCAACATCTCAGCCAGCGCCACGGCTCAATAGGCTAATCCTCCGCCTGCGGTGCCGGCACACGGGGTTCTAGTCCCGGTCGCTCCTCTTCCAGGCCAGATCTCTGCTGTGGCCAGGGAGTGCAGTGGAGGGTGGCCCAAGACCTTGGGCCCTGCACCCACATTGGAGACCAGGAGAGGCACCTGGCTCCTGGCTTCAGATCAGCACGGTGCGCCGGCTGCAGTGGGCATTGGGGGGGTGAACCAACGGCAAAGGAAGATCTTTCTCTCTGTCTCACTGTCCACTCTGCCTATCCTATCCAAAAAAAAAAAAAAAAAAAATTCAACATCTCTTCATGATAAACCCTCAAAGAATTGTGTCTAGAAGTCATGTTTCTCAACACAATAAAAGCTAGAATTATTCTAATAAAAGGATGGCCACTTTCACTATTCTTACTAAAAATATCTTTGGAAGTCATAGTCAAAGGAATAAGGCACTGGAAATAAATAAAGGCATCCATATAGGAAAAGAGAAAGTCAAATTATTCTTGTTTGCAAAAGACATGATTTTATATTATATATACAAAAACCTGAAAGACTCCACCAAAAATGTAAATCCATTCAAACTGATAAACAAATTCAGTAAGGTTACAAGACACAAATTCAGTATTTAAAAATCATTAGCTTTCTTATACATTACAAAATTGCTGAGAAAGAAATCAAGAAAGCAATCTCATTCACAATAGCTACCAAAAAATATCTAGAAATAAATTTAAGTGAATGATCTCTATAATGAAAATGATAAAGCACTGGTGAAAGAAATTGAAGAAGACACTAAAAAAAAAAAAAAAAAGGAAAGATATCCCATGTTCATGGATGAGAAGTATTTATATTATTTTTTTATGATTTTTTTTAATTTAATGAATATAGATTTCCAAAGTACAGCTTATGGACTACATTGGCTCCCCCCCCCATGACTTCCCTCCCACCCGCAACCCTTCCCTTTCCTGCTCTCTCTCCCCTTCCATTCATATCAAGATTCATAATATTAACATGTCCATATGGTCCAAAGTGATTTACAGATTCAGTGCAATTCCTATATAAATATCAGTATCATTCTTTACAGAACTAGAAAAAAGCACTTTTGAAATTCACATGGGATCACAAAAGACTGAATATCCAAATCAATCCTGAGCAAAAACAAAGAATCTGGAAGCATCACAAGACCTGGCTTCAAGACCTATTAGAAAGTTAAAGTAACCAAGGGAGCATGTTACCAGAATAAAAACAGACACTCAGGCCAATGGAACAAAACAAAGAACCCAGAAATAAATCTACATGTTGCAGCTACCTGATGTTCAACAAAGACAGCAAGTAAGTACATTAGACAAAGGAAATACACCTCAACAAATGATGCCAGGAAAACTGGATGTCTATATGCACAAGAAAGAAACTAGGCCCTTATATCTTACTATACACAAAAACCAACTCAAAATTAATCCAAGATTTAAAATGTAAGACCTGAAACTATGAAATTATTAGCAGAAAACATAGTGGAAATGCTTCAGGGGATTGGGTTGGACTAAGATTTTTTTACACACAACTCCAAAATCAGAGGCAACAAAAAATTGGCAATTGGCTTATATCAAACTTAAAAGGTCATATACAGCAAAGGAAACAAATAAGAGTGAAGAGACTGTGAAATGAGAGAAAGCATTTGCAAACTATGCACCTCACAAGGGATTAGTTCCCAGAATATAAAAAGAACTCAAACAATAGTAAAACAAATGGAAATATTAACAATCCAGCCAATGAATGGGTAGGAAAAAAATGTTCAACGTAACTAATCATCAGGGAAATGAAAAAAATCAAAATACAGTATTATCTCACTTAAGTTAGAATGACTATGATCCAAATGACAAAAAATAACATCATTCCTTGCATTTTAATGCTTCAGTGAGAACAGATTTCCTTCTGTTTGCTGAAGCAGTCAGTGGACCAAACCAATGTTTATCATTTATGTTTATGAGGCAATACGGTAATGGCAAGTTTATCTTCAAAAATACTGATGCTGTCTCGACATTTCTTTGAACTGCTTGGCCTAGGGAATTCTGAGCAGTGGAAACTGACTGCTCACCACCTGGAGGCTGGGGAGCCACAGTGAAGGCATCAGCAGACCGGTGGCCGGCGAGGGCCTTGTTCCCCACGGACATCACCCTCTTGCTGTATCTTCACCTGGGAGAAGGGCGAGGCAGCTGTCTTCAGTGTCCTCCACAATCCTCTCCAGGAGTCGAGGTTTTATGACCGGATTACTCCCCCGAAGCCCTCACTTCTTAACACCCTCACACTGGATCTTACTTCATATGCATACATATTGGGGGGGGGGACACTGATATTCAGACCACAGCAGTGGGTGTGGGCCTCTTGAACACACATAAACCCTCAGAGGGAACCGCAGTGGGGCTCGCACTCAACAGTCTCATTCATGGTCTATGGAGCAGTGTGCTCGAAGGCTCAGCAAGTCTGACGCGGGGCCAGCGCTGTGGCATAGCAGGTCAAGGCACTACCTGGGATGCCAGCATCCCACGTGGGCGCTGCTTCATGTCCCAGCCACTCCACTTCCAATCCAGCAACCTGCTTATATGCCTGAGAAAACAGCAGAAGATGGCTCAAGGGTTTGGGCCCCATGTGGGAAACCCAGATGAAGCACCTGGCTCCTAGTTCCGCCCTGGCTGTCATAGCCATCTGGGGAGTGAACCAGTGAACCAGTGGATGGCTCTATGTTTCTCTCTGTAACTCTTTCAAATAAATATTTGTTTTTGTTTTTTAAAAAGAATGTCTAATACGTAAGAAGCTTAAGTGCTGTCAAAACACAACTTCCAAGTGCACTTATGTGTCTATGGATTTAGCTGTGCATTGAGGGAAAACACAATGTGCAACTTCCTTTCGAAGCCTGCCTCGGAGACTCCTCCCACACTGATGCCTCTGTCCTCCTTTTCATTGTGACGTCACAGCTGAAACCAAGTCCAACCTACACCCGCAGGCTGGTGCCAACTGCCCTGTCTGCGCACCACGATCTCATCACAGCACTCACGGTTGCATGCAGTGAGCTGGGCTCCACTTCGTGGAGGTGATACAACACCAACACATGGAGACCAACCCCCGGGGACAGGCACCCATATCTCGACTGTTTCACCGACTGTTAGGTGACAGTCACACTTGGACCCACAGGTGGTCACGGGCATTCCTTCATTCCCAGGCTAAAAGCAAAGCCTCAACATTTAAAACACACACACACACACCATAAAAAAGTGGGCCTGAAGTATTTGTTTTATTGCTTTATTGAATGCAGATTCGGTGCTTTTGAGTAATGGTAGTAAGGTGTCCAAAATTCAACAGGAAAACATTCAGTCCCATCCAGCTGTGGTGTGGAAAGAAGCCTTCGATTGTGAACTTTAAGTTAATTGAGCACACTGCAAGAAATTAACGGGAAAATGGAATAAAAAGATGCATTTGAGCAAAAACTGTTGAAGTCTATCCAGCGGTGTAGTCATACCACGCATTTCCATGAACTTTTTGAAGACTTCCTTCCTATGAATGGATTTCAAAGGTATTTTGGCACCAAAACAAGTTTGTATTTAATTCCGTTTTCCACGAGCTTTGAGAAGTGCCTTTGTCTCTGGGGGCACCACTTGGGGTGACGGCCACTGGACTTCCGACTAGAATTGTGGTCCTCCGACTTGGGGAACGGGAGGGAGGAGCCTCGACCGCAAAGCACCTGTTTGGGCGCCAGGGGCAGCTCCCCCATCCCCCTTGGAAATGGCTGGGAGACTCACACGGACTCCCAGCAGTCAGGTCACTGAGACCAGAGAGAAGCACCGTGGAGAAGTCGTGGTGAGGGCGGTCACAACGGGGGAGGGTTCTGCAGTTAGGGAAGCGGCCTGTGCCTGTACAGCTCTCTAACCGGCTCGTTCTAACTGCAGGGCAGGCAGCCTGATGCCGGGAGCCGTGTTTTGGTGGCTGAAGGCACAGGGTCCTCACCATCCCGGGGTGCGGTGAGGGGGGGGGTCACTGCATTGTGTCCCATTTCTGAAAAGCTGTCGGCTGCCACACACTGGTTACCATTTCAGCCTCATCTCTTTTGGGGAAAGACCCCAGAATCTTGGGCACCCCCTTGGAAATCTGGATGTGCCCTGCTCCTTCTGCAAGGAATCTGGTCTCCAAGGGGTCAAGACACAGAGGGACACGCAGGTGCATGACATTAGGCGACAGCAAAATAAATGCGTGGCTCCGTAGCAGGAACGTGAAACCACCACAAGGAAATGCACATCGCAGACCCTCAGCTGCAGTCACACACTGGCAGTGTCTCCAGACTCTAACCAAATGGTGCTTCTTCCCAGAAAGCCGTTAGCGGCCACGGCTGACTGAGTATATGTGAGAAATAAGCAAAAATGTCTAGCAATAGGCTGTGTTTTCATTTAAAAAAATGACAAACTTCCTTATGTACCCAGGGTCTGATTTATTCAGCCAAATCACTCTCAGTCCCTCTTAATGGTCACCTTGGGTTTCCACAATCAGAACAGACGGGGGCCAACCATGCCTGCTGGTGACACTGAGGGTGTTGAGCCCTCTTTGGAGGAACGAGGGGGCCACCGGGAGCCCTTCCGGCTTTTGAGATTCCACCACATTAGGGTGCTGCTCACAAAGGCAGTGATGCTGAGCAAGGAAACCACAAGGAAATATAAAGGTGCATTTATTCGTGTCCATGCCATCTAAAGCTATTGAGTACAGTAATCAGGACCAGAGAAGGGACGGATCAGAACCCAGACCACCACCGCCACAGCGGCACAGGTGCCCCTGGGCTGCTGTGAGTCTGAGCTCGTGAGGCTGCGTGCCGGCAGCCAGTTTCCTCCCTGAGAAGCTCACTCCACGCTCCCTTGTCTCCTCCAGCATCTCCGGTCCCTCTCAGCTAGGGCCTGGACAGCGTCGGGACGGAGCCGCGCCCTCTCCTCCGGGCCTTCAGTCGCCTGTGGGCTGGGGCTGAGCACAGGCCGGGCCCGCAGGCTGCCCCCGCAGCCCCTCCGCAGGCTGCAGCAGGGCGGCGCGCTCCAGCTCCAGCGCCAGCAGGGCCTGCTTCAGCCTGCTCTCGCTGCTCAGCAGCTGCTCCACCGTGGCCTCCAGGCTTTGGATCCTGCTGTTTGCCACCTGGAGGAAGAAAAGGAGAAATCAGACGGCGCCCGCCTGAGGCAGCACGGGAGGGAGCCCGCAGGAGCCACGTTTCGGCCGTGAGGGTCCACAGCTCGCTACCGGTTCCGACAGCATCTCCTCGCCAGCTGTGGCTCCCTGAGAAGCCGGGCGTGGAGACATCACGGTGTGAGGGCGCGGGAACTCCCAGGCACCGCCGCAGGGGGAGATCCCTGACCCGGCCCAGGAACACTTCAGGGATGGGCTCGGGTGTGCCAGGCCACCGAGCCCTGGGGCTTTTTTTTTTTTTTTTTTTTTTTTTTTTTAAGATTTACTTATGTATTTTAAAGGTGAGTTATAGAGGGGCCAAGGATGAGGAGGACAGAGGTTCACTTCCTAAGTAACCTCAATGGCTAGAGCTCGGCTTATCTGAAGCCAGGATCCAGGAGCTTCTTCTGAGTCTCCCACATGGGTACAGGGGCCCAAGGACTTGGATTGTCTTCTGCTGCTTTCTCAGGAGCATTAGCAGAGAGCTGGATTGGAAGAGGAGCAGCCGGGACTTGAACTGGCGCCTGTATGGGATGCCAGCACTGCAGGTGGCAGCTTTAGCTGCTGTGCCACAGCGCTGGCACTGAGCCCTGGAGCTTTCTGTGTCAGCACGGCCTGGCTGGTTGTGATAAACAAGTCTATCCACGTGTATGAATTGATTTCAGACTGACAGTCACAACGGCGTGATGGCCCAGGTCAAAATGGCTTGCTAGCTTGAAATTCTCTTGTCCTATGGTAAAAGACAGCACTAGGCCAGGGAACATGGCACCATCTGGCATGGCAATTATCTCATACAATGCTGGACAAAGCAGATTAGAGTTTGGTCTCCAGCTTCTAAAACAAAATCCTTGGGGTTGGGTATTGAGGCACGGCAGGTTAAACCTCTGCTCAGGAAGCCCACAACCCCTATCAGAGCCAGCTTGAGTCCCGGCTGCTCCACTTCCCATCCAGTTCCCGGCTAATGGGCCTGGGAAGCATCAGTGATGGCCCAAGTACTTGAGTTCCTGCTACTCATGTAGGAGAGCCACATGGAGCTCCTGGCTCCAGCATGGCTTCACCTCAGGCACTGGGAGAGTGAACCAGAAAATGGAAGGTCTCTATCTGTCACTCTTCCAAATAAACAATTTTTTTAAGGTTTTATTTGAAAGAGTGACAGAGAGAGAGGACACACAGAGACAGAGAATCTTCCATTCGTTGGTTCACTCCCCAAAGGGGCTGGGCCAAGCCAAAGGCAGGAGCATGAAACTCCATCTGGGTCTCCCATGTGGATGCAGGGGTCCGAGTACACTGCTCTCCAAGGCACATTAGCAGGGAGCTGGATCAGAAGTGGAGCAGCCAGTGCCCAGATGGGACAGCGGCAATGCAAGCAGCTTGACCCGCTGTATCACAATGTCAACCCCAAATAAATACGTCTTTTTAAAGCGATGAGTATTACCATAAATTTTAGAAAAATTGGGGTTGACATTGTAGCATAATGCATTAGGCTGCCCCTGCAATGCCAGCATCCCATAGAGGCACAGCGCTTGTTTGAGTCCTGGCTGCTCCACTTCTGATCCAGCTCTCTGCTAATGTGCCTGGAAAAGGAGGAGATATCGAAGGCCCCCCGGCTACCTGGTGAAGCTGGAAGGAGTTTTTTCTCTCTCCTTTTTTTGGCCAGCCCCCCTTGGGGGGAAGAACAAAAAAAAAAAAAAAAATATTTTCCTCGGGGCCCCCCCCCCCGGGGCCCGGGTCAAAAAAACAACAAAAAAAAAAAATGTCTTTTTTTTGTG